AAATGAAGGGCCACGCCCTTTTCAAAGGGGAGATAAAAATTAAGTGGAATCATCCACAGGTAGTGTAGATTCAATTTGTTCAGATCATGACCCCCGGGGGTAGAGTGGGGCCAAAATGGCTGATCAAAGTTTTACATAGGAATATATAGCAAAAATCTTTTTCTCAAGAACCACTAGGCCAGGAAAGATGAAACTCATGTGTAATCATCCTCAGGTAGTGTAGATTCATGTTTGTTCAAATCATGACCCCCAGAGGTAGGGTGTGGTTAAAATGGCGGATCAAACTTTTATCTTGGAATATATAGGAAAAATCTTTAAAAATCTTCTCAAGAATCACTAGGCCAGAAAAGATGAAACTCATGTGAAATCATCCTCAGGTAGTGTAGATTCAAGTCTGTTCAAATCATATCCCCCGGGAGTAGGATGGGGCCAAACTGGCCGATCAAACTTTAACCTTGGAATATATAGGAAAAAAATCTTCTTCTCAAGAACCATTGAGACAGGAAAGATGGAACTCCTTTGGAATCATCCCCAGGTAGTGTAGATTCTTAAGTTTGTTCAAATCATGACCCCTGGGTGTATGGTTGGGACAAATGGCTGATAAGTTTTACATAGGAAATATACGGAAACCTTTTAAAATCTTCTTTTCAAGTACTTCAAACCCATGCTTAGTTTATAGGGAAACATCCTCAGGTAGTTTAGATTCTAATTTGTTCAAATCATGACCCCCTAGGGGGTTAAAATTCAAGCCCCCTATCCCTCAGGAAACTTTCTGTTTTGATCTGATGTGTGCTTTTTCCTAGCCAATTGCTCGGGTAAGCGATGTGGCCCATGGGCCTCTTGTTCTTATTTCTTGAGTAAAGTTGCACAAATAAATGCATGAGATGTACTCATGCGCGTTCCTAATCAGTATTTCTTATATTCTAACCATGTGAAGAATGTTTTAATTTCCCTTTTACATCATCAAAAATGGTAGTCTTGACTTTTGGTATTAGCGTTTAGATAAAGAAATACTTTATTATAATTAGTATACGAAATATTTTAAATACATATCAGTCTTGATGTATTTATTTCATGTATTTACTTTATATTTGAAAAAAAAAATATTCTAAAATTTAAATACAAGTTATACGCTAAGGTAATATATATACATTTTTGAGGTTTCTCTGGGTATTAACTATGCGAACCATCGGTTTATAGTTATGTAGATGTTTATACTTTTTTTTTTACCTTTTTGAAGGAAATTTTTAAGTTTTACTTTTTTCTTTAATATACATATAGGGCATAACTTTATCAAGAATATATGACTGAGCTTTTGCAATCTTCTTATACATGTAGGTCATTTTTGTATGCATCGTTCGATTTCGACAACTGATGTTATAAGTCCTCTGGATGTTTAACCATCTTTTATGTCACGATGCGTAATCCAGTAAACTTTTGCTTAAACTGGAATTATTTGAGGACACGCTTGAAATTACCTTTTGCAGATGTCAAACGTTTAAACTTAAATTGTGAGGCATTTGAAAACAGAGAGAATGCAATCAATCCACACTGTTGAGAACTCTTTTATCTTCAAACCATATAAAAATAACAAACGCAATCTGTAGAAAAAAAAACTTATATATACATTTAATTAATAATACTTCTAGCAAACATCACAAGATGAAAAACACCCTTTAAGCCTGGATTAATGGTGCCTTATAGGTCCTTAATGGTGGTTTAATGATTGTCTTTAAGTCACTATTAAGCAGCTTTAAGTAACATTTACACTACCATTAAGTTACCATTAAGCCATCTCAAAGTCCTTCATGGGTGCTTAAATGTAGCTTAATGGTAGCTTAATGGTGGCTTACAGGTCCTCAATGGTAGCTTTTAGACCACCATTAAGTCACCATTAAGCTACCATTAAGGTAGACTTACAGGTGCTTAATGTTCAAACTCCATTAAGCTACCATTAAGCAACCATTAAGCCACTATAACACAGTCGATATTAGCTTTTTTTTAGTGAAAAATTATTATTATAGTGATTTGTCATCACAAATATAAATTCTCGAGTTCACACATATCTTGATTTGGTAAAAATAAAGTAAAGAACAAAATAAAAAAAAAAAAACTCCACATACAGTCATGACCTTTCGATTAAGTGGCCAGTGTCTTACCCATTAGGCTAACACCGCTCCTTATGTCCATAGGAAAATATTAAATATTTATTTTGCACAGTTTGGTTAGGAATTGTAAAAGTATATATTTTGTTGAACGTTTCCAAAGTCTTGAATTGATTTATTAAACAAACTATAAACAGTTTTATTTATGGATCTTTTTAAAAAGGCTTATATCATTATCACATTCATATTTCTAAAACGTTGAGTTCGGCTTTTAAATTGTAATGAATTATTCGCTCTGTTATTCGAAGATTTATACATGTAAGCATTAAATCATGATTGAAATTAAATTAATTATAAATAAAACACAAAAAAATCTATTATCGGGAAAATGAAAATTTTATTTTAAATATTCTGCGAATATTAAGGTTTTTGTGTCTATTTAGGCCTAGTGACAATATTCGTTTACGAGTTAGCTGGATATGTTTACAAAAACCTTTTTGGGAATAGCATGATATTTGGTTAAAATTCTTTTTGTATCATAATGGGTATCAAACTAATTGTCCTTTTACAAAGAATCATAATTTTTAATTTGTAATATGCTTGCGTTAAATTGAAATTTTACAAAAATAATTTATCATCAAAATCTGTTAGTGTACGTTGTGTGTGTATAGTTTCCTGTTAGTTGACCGAAGACGGTGGACACCTAATTAAGGTCTATTGTCTAACCAGTCAGTATACTGTACACTGTTAATCTTACCCCGTTTCCCAATGTGTACACTGTATAAATCTGGTCGGATGCCATGTTTAATCTGATCGGCTGTTCTTCTGAAAATCGATTTTGAAATAACAATCATTGAAGACCGACTAGATTTTGACAGACACTTACCGCTGTATTATACATGTATAAGAAAAATAGCGAATAAATACAAATTATTCATCATGATGAAAAAGTCAAACTTTGAAAACTAAACATTTTTATACCTGTAGTCCCAGCCCCTCCCCCTCCTAAAAAAAAGATTTTTTTCAAGAGAACATGATTTTATTTTTCTGTGAATTCTGTAGCGGAATGTTGCTTTTAACACGTGAAATAAAAATACCAGCTTTTTTAAAAGTAATATATATTTTGTGTTCATGAATAAAGATAATTTTAAGAACAAATTGATTTTCGGTAGTGAAAAATTAAAATATTTCACAGGGGCTTGTCCCCGGCGTGTAATAATATAATCATTTATTTTTTAAAACAAAAATCATATATACACTAATAATAAACACAACGTATGTAAGAATTATTTATTTTTTTTTAAACATATGCGGTAATAAGTTAAAACGTCTTTTTTTATTGATACTGTATTAATGATTGAAAAAATAATAATTATTAAAAACCGGGAGCAAGCCCCTGTGGCTATAAGCTAACTTTATTCTCAGTGCCCGAGATTTTGCATGTTGAAAAAAATGTTATTTAAAAATGACGAATGAGACAAAGTTATAGATCACAAAAAAATGCGTAAATGACATTGAAATAACTTAAAAAGTTAATCAAAGATTCGAAATCAGATGCGTAAAAGTTTAATGAGGTTTGACCATTAAGTAACCATTAAGCTCGGCTTAAAGGTGGCTTAATGGTAGCGTAATGAAATTTGGACATTAAGCACCTGTAAGTTGCAGATTAATGATGGCTTAAAGGAGTTAACTTCTTTAAGCACCATTAAGTCACAATTAAGCTACCATTATGCGATTGCTCAAAGGTGGTCTTTCGTCTTGTGCATAAGACTTTGAAATATCATTTCACGCAATGTACTTGTTCATTGGAATAATAGTATGCAACCAAATATACAAATATTCTTTACAAGTACTTACGTGATATATTGAAAAAAAACCTAAAAAAAAATACACATTAGTTTTCTACATACATGTACCAGGGTTATACATTGCAGCACTTAAGGTTCCTTTAGAGGCAGGCAGAATATATCATTATTTATTAAAAGATCAAGAATAATTTTAATGCTCTCTGATTGGTCTAAGACACTCTTTGTTTGATGTATCTCAAAGTGAACTCACCTAAAATGACGTTCTGAGAGGTTTACTTGAGTTTTTCCTCTAGATCACCCATTAATTTGCTTACATTTTCTCTGACCAATCAGCGGTCATAGTGGCCTGGAGGTAGAGCATTTGCTTCGCGATCGGAAGCCCGGGTTCGATTCTTGTTCGCGGCGCCACGTCAAACCTGAGATGTAAACATTAGAGGTGACTGTTTCTTCGCCAAGCACTAAAAGTGAAAGTCACGAGTCTTTCGGATATGATTTTAAAAACGTAGGTCCCGTGTCACGGTAGGCGTTGGCACGATAAAGAACCATCACTGCTCAATGGCACTGAGTGCCGAGTATAGGTCTTAATTTGTAGATCTTCAAAAACGTCTCCATTCGAGTGAAAATTTCTCGAGAAGGACGTTAAACAATATACAATCAATCTTCGACCAATCAAATTAAACGTCATAAAGCATGTGTCGATGTGAATGTGAACCCGACAGACGCCGGCATTAAATACTAGTAGACTAAACTACTTGCTTAAGTAGAATAGTCGAGTATTATTGCTCAATTATATTGTTGTCAACTTTAAAACACATTTTCAGCTGTTAAAATTAAATATTTATAGTGTGTTGTTACACTATGCATTATATTAACAATTATAAGTGTTAAAATGACTGTTTATATTTGATGGTAGAAAAATGTTGTAAAATTCATGATAATGTAAAACGTTTTCGACTTTTAAATTCAGCCTCGGTAAACCAATACCTGATCAGGTCTGTATAGTCAGACGTCCCCAAAAGTACATAATTGTATATGATAGTATTATCTGAGTAAGTTTTGCATGATAAAAACCCTGTATAATTCAAACAATTGCATTTTATTTTTTGCATACATAATTATACTTGTTGTCACATGGTGCATCATTCATCCCTTTTAGAGACACCCAGTAGGTGAGGCAGTGTTCCTCTCCGCCGAGGTTACTTGGTTGTCCCTTTAACCAGTGGCTGTAAGGAAGTCCCTCAGCCTTTGAGACCGATATAAACTTTCCTTCCTGTTGAGTATCACTTGCACCAAGCCATACCTGGGGCGAATGACCTATTCAATAATTTAAACCTCAATCAACAGCATAACAATAAAGATTGTTTTCAGATACTGAAAGGTGAAGAAAATTTAATATGATATATAACTTAACTAATAAATTTTAAATGAATTATCTTTTCAAGTATAAAGGGGGTGTTTCGATAGGGTCGTTTATCGGCCCACTTATTTTCATAAAAATAAATTTCAAATTATTTTATCAAAATTAGTTTAGAAATCAAGATGAATATCTTAATTTTTGTTATTAATAATTCAAAAGTTAATATGAAATCAATTCACACCGCAGCTGACACAAACTTAGATGTACCCGCAAATGCTTTAACATTAGGCCTATGGGAAAATATAAGAGGGTGGTATTTATAAATCGATGTTTAGAATATGAAGTGCATGAGGGACACTCACCTAGTTTTGCCCACTTATTAGATATACCCTGTCGCGTGTGCACTTCATATCCAAAAAATGAAAATTGTCTAAAATTTGCATACCTGAAATTAGAGCCTTCTCGTTACTTGATCATACACCAGGTTAAAAAACTAAGCCAAATTAAAAGTAGCACATTTTTTTAAATCAAAGATAGTTCTCGGAAATATTAACAATAGAATACATTTTCGAATACTCTATTTATCTCCATACTTATTTCGTCGCCAGCATATAATGTTAACGCCACATTTGTAGTTCAACTACACGGACTTGGGGGGGGGGCTTTCTTAATACCGTCGGCATTAGCGTTCCAAGTTAAAAAAAATTTCAAGCAGATATTTTTTTTTATATCATCTAGTCACCTGATCCAGTAGTTCCTTGTCACCTGTCGGGTTTCAGATGCTGTATTTTAAGCTAGTATGTGTCGAAGTCAATGTTTCTAAAGTACGTCAAAGATTTTTTTGTAGCAGTGGCGCTATAGTACTTGATGACCAGACATGCTTCATGATGCCTCGTCGGATGCACGGTACGAGACTTGTTTCAGAAGCTGAGCCTGACTAACATTTCATTGATGAATGCTTGGAGTAAAAGGTTGACCAAACATGCACTTATAATACATTTAGGGTTGCACATGGTCCTTGCCTAGTTTCAGTCGTGAGAAAATAATACCTTCTTTAAGTTGTTAACTTTATACTTCTAACTTTATACTTCTAACTTTCATGTCTCAAGAGGGACGCTAAACAATATACAATCAATCTAACTTTCATGAAATGAAGACACTCAATCTATTTTAGTTGTTTTTTTTTATCATTAATCTATTTATTCGAGTGAGTATTGCATAACCAACTATAGCTTTTTACCTTCAAGCATAACCTGCATTTAATAAAAACAAAAAAAGTAAATTCCGCAAACAAAAAACCATTGAAGCGAAACAAAATACAAATATGATCTTTATCTTATCTAGGTTAACTCATGAACCAAAACTTAACACAATATTTACAAGAATTTTGAAAAAGAATTTGAAACCTCCCACCCCCACCCCGTTAAAAATCATAATTCCGTCAAAAATCAATGAAGCGGGACGGAATTCAAACTCGGTCTCTAATTCAGCAAGATACACTTCATACAAAAATGAGCTTATTAAATTAAAATCTGCAAGCAAGCGTTTATAGAGAAAAGTGCGGAAAACCAAATGGGATGGACAGACAGAGGGACGGACAGCTAGACATTTGGGCAGATGATAGGGAAACTATACTTGAAGTCCCCCCCCCCCCCCGATTTAACTGGTAGGGGACTAATTGCTATCTTGATAAAATATATTGGCTTCATTTAATATTATTGATGTATTAAAATACACTGAGCATTGCAATGTTATTCTTTTGAATATACTTTTAAAATAATATAAATACATACTTGCATTTCGTACCGAAATCCATTTTTTTTTTCATAACATGGTTTAAAAATAAATTCATTAATATGACTGTATAATTCACAATAAGTTTTGTGCTATAACTTAAGTTGATGAAAATGTATTGCAAACAGTTCTACAAACCTGTAAATTACAGACCAAGTTGATCTATCTCATGTCAATTTTTTTTTTACATTTGCTTCCCTATGTACGGAAAAACTGTTATAAATTGATTATTATGTTCAAATATAAACCATCAGTAAATTGCTCTTGTAAAAGTTTCTGCCTATACTGTATATAAATGTTTTGTAAGTTAAATTTATCTTCTTTTAATCAAAAGTTATAATAAAAGCTCTAGAAAAATCTTGCACCTTAATGAACATTTACATAAAATAAATATTATTAATTTTCTGTAAAAATAGATATTGAAATTGGTTATTTGGTTTCTTTATTCACACTTATCACATTTTATTTATGATTTTACGTTGAAAAAACTCCAGTATCCCGTTTTAAAAATGCCTATTCGTAAAATGAAGGGAAGAGGGTATACTTAAACTTTTAATCATCACGTGACCAGAACGTGTGCAGTATAAATTATTTTCATATTTTTAGGAAGCTAAGACATTTATCTACAACATATCACAATTTCATAACATTTCTCGAGGGGCCGCAAAACAGCCTTATCGAAACTCCCCCTTTATACAACACAATGCATGCAAAAAGAGGTCAAAATAGTTTTTTTTTTTTGTTTTAGATATTAAACCATTAGCAATCAGCATAACACTTTAATTTAACGATTTCTCAACAAAAATCAATTCATAAATTTATACCTCTTAATCGAACCTGGTTATCAAACCATTTTTCTTCCATGGAATTTTGAAGTTCCAACATTTCTGCGCCCATCTGGTAACATGCCGACTGCATAATGTAAATTGAAAAGGCTTTTTGTTGTATTCAGCGGATAAGAAATGTAAATTTTCTGACAGTATTATCGAAAACATGTAATATTCAAAATTTTACTCGGATTATGTCAGAAAAAAATCTCTTTACTTTCAGGTATTTAAAATATATAATTTTCTTCTGACAGTCCTTTATTTTTAAAAATTATTAAAGATACTGAATACCTGACACATGTGTTTCACACTTGAATATTTTACTTAAAAAAGACGTTAATGGTAATCTAATAACCAAGCATTATCTATGAAACAAGAATTTCAGCAGTTTTGTTAAAAAGTCATGTCGTACGTTCTACGATCCATAAAATGCCATTGTCAACAGATACATTTTAAATTAAACCATATTTTTTGTTATTTCCCGACCTTGATAAGGAGGCACGGTGGGTTTGATCGGTCGGTAGGGGAGGCTCACTCCTCCACGGGGCCTAAACCAACATATCATGGATATTATAGAGGTCCATGTTTGCACCGCTCCTATTTTGTATTTTTTATGGACGTTGATATTGAAGACGTTTGTTATCTCCAAATTTTTCATGCATCAACTGAATATGTAATTTTTTAAGCAACAGATATTGATCATACCATTGCCTCTCTAAATGTGGCTATTGTTGTTGAAAAAAAATAGCATCCTCTTTGGTAGGTTACCCATCCTTTTTCGCAGGTTGCTATTGGTCCTGAAAGGAAAAAAAATGTTTCAATGAAATTGTTTTAATCAGAAAGGATTTAAATGTATTCTTAATTTCCTAAGAGTTAAAGCTGATCGAAAACATAAATATGTCAAAAAGTCACAATGAACATTCAATGTGTAAAACATAGATTTTAAATCATTAAAGTTAACTACATTTTATTATTATGTTCACATTTTCTTTTACAATTCCTTTAAGAAAATAATCTTTTCGTTTGACATATATTTTTACAGATATTTATTTAATTTATCAAAAAATAAATGAAACTCATTTTCTCTAAAATACATCTAGAGAAAAATCAAGGAATACTTTGGTAAAGAAGAAGCTTCAATGAATTACATTGCACCAAAAAAAACCTGAATTAAAATTAAATGCACTGATGTAGAAAAAATAAATTCAAAATCTTTGGGATTAAAGTTCCTTTTTGGAGTTATATTTCCTCTTTCTCAGGACTCAAAAACTTTAGCAAGTCTCCGCATACATCACCATACAATATTTGCTCATCATTGGCCACTGAACTTGGCAGTTATAAAAGAGGAAAACTAAAAACAGATACTATTATATTAAAGGTACCTAAACACAGATCCAATAAAATGTAAATTAAACATACACTACAGCGAACGATGGTTTTATTACTCTCTCTCTCTCTGAACTTACGATTTATTCTTCTTCCTGTTGTCGTCTGTGTCGACGATAGCTGTTGGATTGTTTCTTTTATTTCACTTACTTCTTCAACAGTCTCTGCAATATAGTCGTTTAATTATTAACCACAATATTATATTGGGGATTTATATTGTTCTACATTTTTAAATTTATTTAATACCTGTTGGAAGGAAGCAAAAACTTCAAAAATACTACACACGTGCATTGTATCTCTGTGTACATATTACTATTACTTTAAATATGCTAATTTCAGTCTGTAATACAGTACTTTGTATGGTATGGCCTGTAGATTTAAAAAAATGTAAAATCTTCGGAACTTAAGACTTGGAATGGTAAAGATTTCACGAACTGCAGTTTATCGTAATAATCCTTTATTCTTCTTGAATCCCTGCACCGTTTGCGTATGGACTTAGTCTGCGGAATACGTATGCTCTTCATTTGCTTCTTCGCAACAGCAACACTAATCGGACTATATCTCATAAATTAGCTATATCAGCTACATGTATATAATACCATCTTAAAGACATGTTTCCAGAGATTGCGTTCTAGCAAGCCCCTCCTGGCTTTTTGGCTTTATCTTTTTTGATTGTTGAATGATCGATGGACGCCAATGAAAATGTTTTCCTTTGGGAGGATCAGTAAGGTTTTGTTGCCGAAGAGAAACATACTTTCGCATGGTGACCTTGTTTACTGCACATGAAACACTCGAAATATGATGTGTAGATGGACATGTGAAAAGTCACAATGACAGAAAGGCTTTCCGCACTTATAGCAGCGAAGAATGGATCAAGATTTCGTGAAAATCCATGAGGGTCCAGGTGTGACCCAAGGATGCAAAAGACAATAGTAAGGTGTTGCGGGAGCCGTAAAGACCTTTTCTCAAGGTTGACATGGAGTTGTTGAAGATAAATCGTACCTACATGCAAGTTATTCATACACATATCATAGTGAGCTCCTTATTCTTTATATCATTTCTTATAACCCTAGAATTTTTTTTTCACCACTTTTTATTCCTGTGGTTAAAAATATTAAAACAAAAAGAAGCATTCCAATTCATTTTTATGTTTATGTAGCTATTATTCAGAACTTTTTTTAAACTGTTTTACATGTATGCGTGCGTGATCCAGTGGATAGCAAAATGTAAATTTCGCTTTGTTATTCTTAAAAAAAAATATTTGTTTGATAAGTATTTCAACTTGTCCGTTTTTTGTAAATCCAAATAAAACGAATGAATCGTCAATTGCAATTTTTAAAGATCTTTTATTTCTTGTAAACATAGATAATTCTCATTGGTTTAGTACTTTAAGTTGTCGGCAAATGTACATGACATAATTGTTGGTGCAACGTGTATCAGTGCTTATAGCTGATCTATAATTTCTATATTTAGAAACCTATATGTCAAAAAAAAAAATAAGTTTCTATATTTTAAAATTTGATCGAATGAATAATCTTAAAAAGATGAATTATTTTAGAGATCTGCAAATTGAGAGATGTATTAAGATGTAATTCAATATATTGCCTTTTTTTAAAAAAAATCTTACCCCTTTTCTGCATATCATAAAATTCCATAGAATCATAGAATCATATCTAACGATCATCTTATATTATCTGATAGAACATGTAGGAACCGATTATAAATTAATTTGCCTACTGAGTGAAAAGAAAAAAAATTCCTTTGTCGCACAAAATCATAAATTTATTGTATTCGTAAACTACAATTAGCTGTAAGTCTGATTTCGACTCAAAAGTATCAAGTTTTTTTTCTATTCCAATTATTGGAAAAATCTCTGTTTATTCTATAATATGATTAGAGTGTGTTTTGTACATTTCCATTTTGTTATTCACGATAGAGCGCTCGCTCCTTGATCGATTCATTTACCGTGCGCTCGTCAATTGAAGCAAAAGTAAGGGATCCTTTGGATGAGTCCTTATTAAGTCACTGTAGGCATTAGCACGATCAAGATCCCTTACTGCTCAATGTTCCTAAATGCCAAGTAAAGATTAAAATTTCAAGTCCTTCACCGATATATGGTTTCTTAATGAGTGAACATTTCTTGAATGGTACGTAAATTAACACCCAATCAATACCCCGTGTACAGTATTGTATAAAACATTGTTACTTAAATTCATTGTATTAAACTTGATTGATTGATTGAATATTGTTTAAAGTCCAATAGAGAATTTTTTTACTCATAAAGGGACGTTACTGTATACAGATGAATTGCTTCAAAAGACCTATACTCGGCAGTCAGGGCTACTAAGCACTAAGGGTTCTTTATCATGTCAGCGTTTACCGTGACAAGGGGCCAATATTTTTAAGGTCATATCCAAAAGAACCTTGATTTTCACTTCTGATGCCGAGCGTTCCGTGAAGGAACAGTCATTACTTCTGAATACGTCATAGGTTTGACGTGGCGCAGCGAACGAGTATTGAACCCGGGTCTCCTGGTCACGAAACAAACGCTCTACCAAAAACCTTTATTATACTTTCATGTTAAATACTAAAATCCGATTGGTTTAGACTCAGTTAACAATCTGTTCCATTACCCGCAGCCTTAGCAACACACGTGACAACGGGAAACACAACGGTAATGCCACATATGTGGAAATTATGCGCGTACGGTTCACCGTAGAATTCTCAAAACGTCAGTTGTGCGTTTGAAAGGACCGGAATAAACTTGACGTCAATAAATGCTTGCGTCCGATGTAGCTTACTTGAAAACAACAAACGACAGACGAAACATGCTTCCGAGTGCAGAAATAACGAAACTTTAAATGATAAAGGACTCGTAGAGTATCATATAAACAATAAAGACGTCGGTATTTCTTTTCCGAAGTAGCGTGGAGTTTGAAAGCTTTCTAAACGTGAACGAAAAGGCGATCGACGATTTGTATTGCTGACATAGTAAATCAAGAAGACATTCAGAATTATAAAATAAGTGGTGCCTGTTTTGGAGGGTAACAGTTGAAATTGACACCCCTCGGAAAACCATTGTCAACCTCCGCTAACGCGTCGGTTCACAATAGTTTTCCTTGGGGTGTCAATTTCAACTGTTACTCTCCAAAACAGGCACCATTTATATAATAGTGACCGCTATAACTTTGTAAACCTACTTATTTTTTGGTCAGGTTAACTTTTCAAATTGAAATACTATTGATCACTATACTAAAAATAGTTGTGAAAAGAAAACTGCAGTAAGTTTTCGAACGGGAGGTTGTGTGTTTACCGCCTAAATACATCATACACAAACGGAAATAAAGAGTAGAAATTCACAAGCTGAACAAAACAAAAAGGTCAGTAATTTACGACTTAAATATGTACAAAATTTGAATGCTTTTGTATTCATTTAACAGGGTTTAAGAATAGGCTTCGTAATCAAGATATGGGAAGCACTCCACCTGCGTTACAATATGTTTACTTGTGAAAATGACAAATTAATTCGAACCTAGTAAAATTTAGACAATGCTAGAATAAGGTCCCTTGACTATTATATATATATCCTAGCTGCAGAAATGTAGAGTTATTGTTTTTAAAATGTATTAGTCTTTGATCATATTTCAGACCATAATGCTACAGTTCTGCAGCTCATGAATAAACTAGGCAGTGAATCTGATATTTTTATGTTTATTTTGTATTGTTCATTTTATCTCAAAATTCTTAATTATTTCTGTTTAAGTAAGTATCAAAACTCTATAAAACCTGCAACAGTTATAAAGTTTAAGCATTCATGAACAGTATAATCATATTGACCTTTTCTTTCAATACTGTAACGACATTTTGTTTTATTTAAGATCTGATAATACAGAAATATTAAGGTACTAAGTGTAAGATACAAAATTAATGCATTTCTTTTATGAAACAGGAAGTTTGAATTAGCATAGCAGAACAATCAGAAGGAGATAGACTCTTTGCATTTGGTTCAGATATTGATACAGCAGAACCCGTTTAGTACGAACACGGATATTGCGAATTTATGAATATAACGAAGTCATATTGGATCCCCAGCTATTTAAATCTAATGAATTTTTTGTACGGTTAAAACGAATAATGGATATAGCGAAATAATTTAATAGGTCCAAGGTACTTCGTTATAACCGAGTTTTGCCGTATTTAGAGTTGAATATGAAAATCTCAATGAAGAGAAAAAAATATATATAATTTCTTATGAGAGAAATATCGTGCTTTTGAACTAGAAATATAACTTTTATGCACCAACAAACTGATAACCAGTATTTCAAGTTTTCTAACTTGAAAACTGTTTATATCAATAAAATATTTTTCTAAATTTATCAATAGAGCAATGAAATATATCTTTCATAGAGATATTGAACAGTATTTAAGTTCAAAATCTAAAAATGGGAAAAAACAAACATTGACCTCCAGAACATTAGAGTGGGATCAGATACCATGAAGTAGTGAGCTTCCCGTGCCGACTGGTCATGACCGGGAAAGACCGGGAAAATATGACAACAATTTTGTGCGTATATAATTGCCTATATAAAACAATTAATATGAAAAATGTCACTCAGCATATCCCTTAAAATAATAAATTGAATTTACTCATAAGGTCATTTTGTCGACCATACAACTTACGGAATGATAACTTTAAATGAGACTGCTGTTATTTTTGTTTCGCCACTTGTTTGTCGATTACTTTGCTTTAGATGTCTTTTCGTTGATGTCCCTGGCATACTATACTTATTTATAGTGATTCATTATATTACCATTTCATTGTGAAATAAAATTTTAGAAATAGACTTTAAAAATGTAGACAGAGATTCATATTACACGAGGACTCCCATGCTAATTTCAAAAGTCCTTACTCACTGACGTCAAACACAAAGTCAGCCGCTCGATATTTACATGCATATTTGGCCTCTTTGGCATTAGACTTTAAGATAGACGTGCGCGAGATTTGCTTGCATATTAGGTTTTCTTAGTTCTTGACCTATCGAACTGCTTAATTTACATTCTGGTAGAATGATGAAGGAATCAACTCCGGTAACTTTTATAAATGTATTTTGCTGCACACATGTGATTAAGGGAAGTTGACGATTGAAGTTTCAAGCCATCATGTTAATCATAAAACTGGGTTAATAGATTAACATCTTTATCAAATAAAATATATAAATATGAATTAGATGTGTCAAACTCTGTGGTGTTTTTTAATTAAGCGCACAGGTATATATCGTATAGACATAAGAATGGATGTTATAAGTGTTAATTGACAAAACAACAATACATCTAAATGTCAAGTTGGAGGCCACAGCAAGTTTTTTGTCTTCGAGGAGGATAAAGCATCCGTAAAATATCAAACGGTTTCAATTGCATTAACTCTCTAGGTTTGACGTATTAATAGAATATGACGTCGTCACCGCATACTTGAGCTAACATGACGGGAAAGTGTCATAATTTTTACGCTTTGGATTTTCTTTCGTTGTTGTTTAATTCAAGTGTTGGGATTGTTTTTAAGCTCCAGTCTGCTGTTATGCTGTTGAGCACTTGAAATTTTAATACCCTTATTGCTTTCGCCTGTCCGATATGCACATATTAAAAAAAAAAAAAAATTGAATGCCAAACGCTCCCCTTGCACAGCCCTAGACAGATTTTGAATTGATGTATCATGTTTATATTGGACAGGCACAAGTAGTTGACAAGGATAAACTAAAATTGTGAATCTACAAGAGAAATATGTCGTCTAACTGAATTATGCTGGGGGATTGTATGTAGTTTATCCATTTTTGTATAAATCCCGAATAAAGTGGAAAATATCCCTTCCCCTGTTGGTAAGTTAAATTTCTCGTAAAATATTTTCTCAAAAAATTAAAATTAGACTTGCCCCCAGCACTTTATATGTACCAGAGTTCACGGTAAATTGATCTATGATACAAATTTTTCATAATAATTTTGTTTTGCAATTGCGCCAAAGGGATTGTTGTACAATATTTAAGAATATCAAAAATGCCCGTCACGAGATCAACAAAGCCATGTGACATCACAAAAATGCTTTAGTATAATACCTGATTACACTTTGATTAAAAGAATACTACAAGGATTGTATTTTTAAATTAAAACCTAGCTAAAAAATAAAATGTATATATTATTAATGTACCGTATAAGTAGAATTTTTAGCGAGGATTTAATTTTGGCATTATTAGCGAGGGTGCTGAGATCGCTAAAATTGAATATCGCTAAAAATTAATTGCATTTTATTTGTAATAGCTGCTTAAGTAAGCATTTTAAAATCGCTAAAATTACCTTTCGCTAGATATAAATTACCAATTTTTAAGGAGAAATCGCTAAATTTGCGTCTCGCTTAAATTTCCACTTATACGGTATATTAAGCCTTAAGACAGCCTTATCATAACTGCGTTCTTTTCATGTATACGATTGGGACAAATTCTGCTTCATTTGAATGCAGAAATAGGTCTGCAATAACCGGTCTTATTTGGTACCCATCGGAATTCCGATCAATTTTTGGAAGACTTGGTCACAAAAATCAATTATAAATTGTCAATCAGATATTCATGCATCTCTCTATGATCAACTTCAGAGTAATTGTGTACATACTTAATGTGTTTTTATACAAATTAATTCTGAAAAAAGACAATGACAAGTAGAGTAAATTTACGAGTTCCATTTTTAGTGAAAAAGCAGCTAACAATGTAATAAAATAAATAGAAAATTTTAATAAAAATGGGTAACGGTTATAAATAAAATTGAAAGGTTTAAAGATTTCATATTTTGTTAATTTTGGTAAAATTTAGTGATTTAACGATTTTTAAGATTTCTTTGAATTTTTTTTCAGTATCCAGATCTGATTTATACCACTTTTTGAATGTATTGTTTGATATTCATCATTGTCAATATTTCTATGAATAATAGAGAAGGAGGCTTTGTGGAACATTTACTGGAGGCCGCTATGAATCTTCGTTTGTAAGGATTTTTGTGCATATAAAACAAACATAAAAAGACAGGTTACGACAAGTCATCATATATACATATAATAATTACATTATCTTACAGTGTACCTCTTACCTTACGCTGAACACAACTTCTAAGATTCTCAAGAAGCACGTTTCTCAAATGTTCTCGCTTGTTTTATCCTGAGATTATTGTAAAACTCCTAGATTTACACTTTACTCACAATAACATGTTCTAGCGATACTTGTCATTTCATTTCGTTTGAGTCTTACAATATATAAATGAAAAGAACAAGTTTTTTTTAATCATTTTTGAATATATAAGCCTTTAAAAACTCAAGGTTCAAGTTATAGCATTTAGAAATAATGATTTTTACATATATTTTTCTCATACAAACTTCATGTTTTTCCAATTTCAGTTTAACTAAACATACACACACTTCAACAAGCGATATTAATTAATTATTCTCTCTCTCTCTCTCTCTCTCTCTCTCTCTCTCTCTGAGCTTACCATTATTTTTTTCCTCCATCATCGTCTGTTTCAATGTTAGATGTTCAATTGTTCCTTTTATTTCACTTACTTCCTTGGCAATCTCTGTAATGATGTAATTTATTCGGATAACGTTTATACATTTTCGTTTGGAACATGTATTCATTTTCCTGTTTATCTATTTGTATAGTCGTATGTTGCTTCTGCTGTGGCAATGTTTGCATACATATAGCTTTCCATCATTACACAGTTACAGTTACAAATGATTTGTTGGACATGAAAGTAAAGATGATGCCCGAGGCCTCAGGCCAAGGGCAACCTTTTAACCTTAACATCAAATCATATGTTGCCCATACCCAGTCAATAACTATTTCGTTATATTGTATACCCGTATACCCTTCACTTAAGATTTCCTTAATACACATAGTATAATCAATTGTCAATTACTTTATGTAGAAACCTACGCCTTAATCAATAAAAAAACTATAGCCGAGAAAGAAAAAAAAAGATTGATAAAAGTATTTTTCCACAAAAATTATTTATCACTAAACATAGCCTTCCAGTGCCCCTGTTTTTTAAATTAAAATAGTAACAGCACTTGCATGCAGCTTTTAACTTCAGCCTATTGACGATTTTGAACGATGATTAATTAATCGTGTCGAAGCAGTGGCTTTGCGGTCTGACAATTCTTAAGTTGGACTTGTAGGTCGTTCACCAGTGCAATTGTTAGACAGATGTAATAATTGAAAATTTTCTTTTCAGTTATAACTTATGAAAAGTATTACTTAATAACTTTTGAAAAGTATTACTTTAATAAGTAATAAATATAAAGAAAAGTATTTATTAGGGTATATAAACACAGTATGTATCAAAAAGGCATCATCTCAATTATTTCAAAGAAGTTTTCTATTTTGTTGACAAAATAATTTCCAGTGTTTGTTTATTTATTATAACAATACTTTATTTTCATAACTCATCTGGTAAAACGAGGGGTGATCAAAAAGTTTGCGAATTATCTATATATTTATATTTTTTTAAAATCGAAAACAGTTTCGTGGGCATTCAATGTCGTCGTTTCGAATATAATTCTATTCGACATATAGTAATATGTAAATTTCATTACTTATTTATTTTCGTGGATAATTGCAAGCATCGAAATAAGGGAAATTTAATCAGCAAAGGAATTTTCCGCTTTTACAGTAGTATCAAATTTGCAATAAATTTAAATATGTTTCATCTAACAGAAAATAACATTCAATTGCTAATTTACTTACTTTTGAAAACATTCAATTCATTTTTGAGTATTTCCATGTTCTTTTCGTGTTCTTGAGATTTTCCTCTCAGGATGCTTAATTCATTTTTTAGGAATTCCATGTCTTCTGGTGCTGAACATGTTGGATGGAGAAAGTCTATTTTTTGACCATAAAAACATTTTATCCAGTACATCATCAATAAGGATCTCCAAAATAAAGTCATTGTTCCTGTTCCTATTAAGAATCTAATTATAAATTAAAATTGAAAAAAAAAAAACATCAGCAATAACAGAAAAATAAACATAAGAAGAGTTGAGTAAAGTGGAATCATTTTCATTTATACGAAGGAAGGAGGGGATTTTTATTTATTTCTGTCCATATTATATTTATTTATTTAACTATGTGATTTTTAAAACAATTCTGTTTATGTTTTGAGGCTATGAATCATAAAAAACTATAATGGAAAAAAGGAAATTAAACAGAGTAGTAAATCAATATTAATATGATCCTCAAATGTGAACACAAAGACAACTTCTTAAATTCAGGCAGGATGTAGATAGAACAACAATTGCTTATGTACGTGATATATAGCCCGATATTATATATGAAAATAATATAAGAATTCACTTTCCTAATCTAAATATATCATATAAGTCCATATCTCATCTTTTATGTCAGATTTTTTAACATTACCTAATAACGAGGTCTTACAAAGGTAGAGATTGCAACGATGATCAAGAAATATAAATTCAAAATATAGATAACAAAAGCAATATGAATACTTGTTTGTAAATATAAAAACAAATTTCTTCATGTTTTTGAACTGCACTCTGATTTTTTTCTTTTGATATTCAGGAGCTAGAGAATCTCATCTCGGAACATTTCGGACGGACCCCTGCAAACACTTGCTGCATCCCAAATCAGTGACAATGAAGTTCTTTCGGATGACTCGGATGACGACCTGCCTGTTAATAAGGCGGTGGATCTTGATCAACGTGCTATGCAGTTTCTTGATAAAACAAACTCTTCGGACATAGATGCAAGTGGGGACGACACAGAAGATGAAGACCAAATAGATTTGAATGATATTGCAAATGTGCCTCTTCCCGAGGATGATCCTGATCTGTATAAAATCAGAGAAACCAAGGTTCAGGGATGCGGCTGTAAGAACATGTGTCTCTCTCTGTTTAGCAATGATGTTTTATATACTCACATCCTTAACATGAGGGAGATGTCAAAAGAAGAGAAGGACATGTATGTCATGGGTTCTTTTGTAGACAACAGTAAGGAGACAACCAAACGCGGAAAGAAGAGACTGCGTTCAAGACAAACATTCATGTTTTCTGCTTAAAAAGTGTACAAGAAAACTTTTATGCTTGCTTATGACATTGGTAAACGCTTTCTTCGAAACGTTATAACACACATGAATACACATGGGGTAACACCACGCAAACATGGAAACGCTGGGAAGAAACCTAGTCATATTCACTTAAATATTGTGATATTAGCTCAGTGGTCCAAGTTGTATCTAATTTTGCTGAAGACTTTGGACTACCACAACCAGCAGCACCAAGAGGACGGGACGATGTTCCTCCGGTATACATACCATCAGACATGACAAAAAAAGCTATTCATGATAAATACGTGGAAAGCTGCCTTAATGAACGCCATGTGCAATACTCCACATTTTGCAACGTATGGAATCAATGTTTTCCGCATATACGAATTGCAAAACCTAGAGACGATGTTTGTGCCACCAGTGACGGAAGCTCCGGAAAAGCATTTTGGATGCTGTTTCTGAGGAAGAAAAGTTGGTTGCAACAAGGAAGATGCAGGACCACATCATACAAGCACAAGGAGAGAGGAACATTTACAATGAATGTGTAAAAAGGTCCCGTGACACATATCGCTTACAGAACAAGTTCGTCCATTATACTTTTGATTTCAGTCAAAATGTTTGTATTCCTCACCATGCACGACAAATGGGCCCACTGTACTTTCACACTCTTCGAAAAGTCCATGTATTTGGTGTCCGCAGTGATGGAAAACCTAAACAACTGAATTTTTTGATAAATGAGGATGTAACCATCGGACCAGATGGGGCGAATGTCCAGATTCGGTGATTTCTATGCTGGACTGGGCCTTAGAAAACCATAATTTGGGGGAAGTGTCATGTACCATCCATGCTGATAACTGCTGTGGTCAGAATAAAAATCAATATGTGCTTGGATACTTTATGTGGCGAGTCATGACGAAACAACACAACTCTATAGAGTTTAAGATGCAAATTCCTGGTCATGCGCGATGCCTCATCGATGGAGGATTTGCTCTTATCAAAAAGTTATACAGGCGTTGTGATTGTGATGGCATTGGCCAAATTGAAGATGTTGTGAACAAATCTTCCTCTACGAACTCAGCTGTGAGATACCCAGCATGGCAATGGAGATCATGGAAAGCTTACCTTAGTCAGTTTTTTAAAGCAATGAAGGGTATACGACTGTACCAACACTTTTCCTTCAATACTGAAGAACCCGGCATTGTTACAGTGAAGAAGACCAGTAAAGGGAACGAAGAAAAGATCTCAATTTTAAAAGACAAGGATTTTCAGTTTACAGAAATTAGAAGACCAGATGTTCTCCCCGCAAGTGGACTTTCTGAATCTCGGCTGCGATACCTATTTTCGCATGTGAGGCCATATGTGCGACAAGCATTTCAGAATGAAACTTGCCCTAGTCCATTTACGGAATAGAGTGGAATTAAATGTATAGATATAGTATAAATGATTTTATTGATTTGAACCCTGTCATTATTGTGAACTTTCAAAGAAAAAAGACGAATAATTATAATTATAACATTGTTTACATACAGATTGGGATTTAAATGAAACTGAAAATGTCTTTTTCTTATTCTTTTTTTGATAGATTAAAAGTATATCATATGTAATAATCAAAGAAGAATTTTAAAAAAAAAAGTTATAGATATTTTTTTTAATAGTTAATTCGTATAAGTAAAACTTAAAAATTTTACGTAAAGCAATCATGAATGAAAGAAAATTCTTACGCAACGTTAGATTTGCGTTAGAATGGCGTTACGCCGTTTCATGGGTTTGGACACATTATAAATGACGTCATTCAATTGCCTGTAACTTGGTTACTATTAGGATTTAAACAACCAAACTTGGTTATATTATTTTTCAGATCAGTGCCACTTATTTCCAGTGAAAAACTCATTTTCATTAAAAATGTCATTAAGACCCCTTTTCCCAGAGTGCGGTCCATATCACAACTCATCCGATGCAGTCATTTGTAACTGTTAAGATATGACGTAATAATGAAAAATGAGAGTGTAGCAGATTTCACGTCTTTTTTCAACTCCTGTTAAATTATAAACGTACGTACATGTATCATAAATTTATCTGCCCTAACTGTGGTTTCGTTACGGTGGCATAAAACATAAATTTTAAATATAACAATTCAGTATTATTTTTTCTTCTCTGCATGAAACATATTGAGATAACGAACATAATTCAAGATCAAAAGTTCATAAAACAGTATACAATAGGAGCAGAGCAAACAAAGACCTCGAATCCATCAGATCAGGTGCCATGGAGGACTGAGCATCCCTTGCCACTGGTCACATGCAAAAATATTTTGTAATAAAATTTAAACATAATAGCAAAATAGGTGCGTTGAAGGCATACATTGCCTACACATTGAAATCTAAACCAAGCTGGAAATGTTATGTTTTGGATTCAATTTCAATACTCATGAAAGTTTAACATAACTGCGTTTATTTTTTTTTTTCCTTTTGTTTCTCCTGATATAGAATAGAAAATAAAATCAACTGTGGCAAATATGTATTGCTTGAAAATACATTGTGTCTCAATATTAATTTGATTATATTTTTTGTTCGTTTTTGTTTGCTTAGCCTTTTTTCATTAAGGAGAAGGCCAGTGTTGATTTTCAATGCTTTTTGCAGAAGCTCAATGTCAGCTAGCTAGGACCTTGCCTTCCTTCTTCAGAATGTTAATTTTGACAATTTATCATAACTACTGTTTATATTGCTAAATGAATATTTTTTTATGTTTCTGCCGATGCTTTTTTCGTTTTTCAAAATTATTTTCCCGAACTGTTCATAATAACTACATCAACTCATCTTCGTGGTTGAAATAAGGATCAAAGATCAAACGATTGTATCACATTCATTTAAAAGATGATAACATGTGACTACAGTTTAAATCCTTAGTACTCTCAAACATATAGCCAAGGGAAACGATTGCTCAGAAGTGTAATATTTTCATTCAATCTGTTCTATTATTAACCAAACGAATTACATGTAATGACTACTGTAAGTAACCCACTTCAGAGATTGTTCCTCCTGTGTATTCGCAAATTCTCTATTTTTGTGCCCCGCTTTCACAAAAGCGAGGGGACATTAAATCTCATTCGTCTGTCCGTCAGTCTGTCTTGCTGTCCGTCCGTCACATGAACTTTAACCTTGCCCATAACTTTTTCCTATTTTACATGAGTATTCCTTGTGACAAGACTTTTCACAAGAAACCCCCAAATTTGACCTTTTGACCTTGACCTTAGAGTTTGACCCACTTTTACATAAAAATTCCAAATTTTTATTTTGGCCATAACATGTGAATGGTAGATACATGTACCATAGTCTAATCATTCTACTGAAAAATGAGAACTAATTGCAACAGTATATATTTTAATGCAGATTTATAGATAAGCTATTAGTAACTCACATATAAAAAGTTTAGAAAAATTCACTCAGGGGAAGGTTGGGAAATCGAAAGATTAAAATTAGGGATGAATATGAATTTAGAATTACCCATTTGCACACCGTACTTTTTCTACATGAGCTTTCTATGACAGACAGCCTGAAAACAATAGCCAATTAGCATTAAAGGTTGTTATTTTAACCTGTAGTTTGTTATGCAATCAAAACTAAATCAAAAAAATTATATAATTTTATTTCCAAAGAAGTGAAGTTTTGACTTCCACACCGGCCAAATATCATCTACACATATATAATGGTTGCAATTACCATTCAGTATGGAACGCTGTTTGTATTCACAATATTGTATGTGAAATTCCTAAATGTGAATGTGTTTACTTTCATTTTATTTGTAAACACCTTATGGACATTTATACCCCAGTAGTTTTGGAATTTATACAGGAACAAAAAATGTATGGAACACAGTTTGTGTACAAAATAAGTCAAAAAAGCCTTTTTAAAGAATTCTGCAAGGAAGCTTATCAGACAAGTACATGTACAATTTATATCAGAGTTGTTACAATTGCATCATCACAGAATATATTTTGATTAAATATCTAGAAAATTTATAGAAATTTATCATTTTGAAATAAAGAGTACAGAATTTATGGAATCTCATGAACAGGATTTGATTTGAAGTTAAACAAATCAAATATTTAATTTCATTCAGGTATCTCCGGAACTTAAATTTGAACTGTGTGATTCAAACAATGTTTTTGCTCTCCAAATTTACTGCTTATTGCTTTTGTAAAGAGTAGCGAACCTTATATAAAAAGCTAATTGATATTGACCTTTTTCTCTATAAAGACTGCACCATGCATCTATACATGTGGAAAAGCTGCATTTTGTTTATAGTAATGGAAATAATTCAAATGGAATCGTTTAGACAGAATTAAATGCTTAAATGCTCTTTTTAAAAATTTTTAATGTAACTTTTTAACAAAATATTTTAAACACATTTCTAAAAACTTAACTTCTTGTAGATCTGATCATCATATGGTCATTTTTGCAACAGTAAAATGCCTGATGCGGCACTTACTGAAGCTCTATTTTATGGGGACTGGTGATAACGGCGTTTCCATGAGCATGCTTTAGAATGTGAACAATCTGGAACACTTTCAAAGTCACTTCTTAATAAGAGCAACATTGAAAAAAGAATAGACGGACGTGAATCTTTCTACTGTAATTGTATATTGTTTAACGTCCCTCTCAAGAATATTTAATGCATTTGGAGATGCCACTACTTGCCGGTGGAGAGCTGCACATTTTGTTCTATACTCAGCACTTAGGGCCATTAAGCAGTGAGGGATCTTTTTCGCGCCAGTGCCTGCTGCGACACGGGACCTCGGTTTATACGGTCTTATCCGACCGGTCTCCACATCCCACAGTGGGATTCGAACCCGCGACATAAGGATCGACTCCTTACTTCGCAACTCTAGAGCAGATGCTCTAACCACTGCACCATGCGGGTGAATTCCTAGATTAAAGCCAAAGTCTTATAATTTCTATAACTGTTCGGATAAAAATATTTGGGGAAAATATAACAAACATTAAAAATACTTTTACATATGAATTTTAACAAGTAAAAATTGATAACCAGTATCTACCAAGAGTTTAACATTTAATTCTTCCTTGAAACAAATACCTGGCGTGCTTTCTTTTACTTCATTCCACTTGTATAAGTGCTTTAATTTGACCTTAGATTTTTTTTTTATCAATAAGAATAAGATAATCTACTGTGTGCTTTCAATTGCCCCCACCCTCTTATATTAACATTACATAGCAACGGTTTGAAATACATTAAGATTTAAGAAGGGTAAAAATATAATAATTATTAACTGCACAGGGCCTTTGCGCGCACATTTCACGATATTTTGTACGCAATTCAATTTAATTACTGTTGATTCGGCTACATCTTGGTCAACAATGATCATTTTCAAGGGATAACAATTTCAGATTTTATCCTAAAACGTGTCTTATCTTCATATTATTGAATATAGTTGAAGGTTACACTGAAAAAAAACTTCAAATATTTTTGGAATATCACCATCCATGAAGCAACATTAAATGTTGCTATGTTCCTATCACACCGGAGAGCGTGGTTTCATTATATGGAGGGTAAAAAAAATGCATTGAGCCACTTGATATGAGTAAGATAGCATTTTTATTAAACTCATGACAAGAAATACCCTGTAGGGTACCAAGGTGTGGGGTGGGTTCAAGTTCTGATCAAGCAAGAACCATCATACTCATTATAGTGTACAAGCATTATATGATACTGATTTAAGCAGAGTATTTTTTTTTATTTCTGAGCATTTTATACAAGTCACCAAACAATCATATTGCAGGGACTCAAAACTGCCATGGTGTCACATGTTGAAAGAAAATTTTCTGAAGGGTGGACAACACAACTACAATGTAATCTATGGGGAACAGCTTTGCTGTGCGTAAAAAAATTTCAGATTTCAGAATATTTTTTGACAAAAAAAAAATAACAACCTACCTAATCCAGAATAAAAACATAAATGTATTTCAGGGAGGAATGGGGTTCTATGAGATCTTCCCACAATTTTCTTCATATACGGGGAAAACCTTTCAGTTACAGGAGGGATACGGGTTTTTTTTGGGGGGAGGGGGCATTTTCTACTACTTTTTCATAAAAAAAATTCTTATTGGGGGATGTCCCCTGACCCCTCTAAATCTGCTCCTAATTATTTTTGGATATTACTTTTCATATGAATTAAAACATGTTTATTGTTTCTTTTGGTGATTGAGTATATTCGTGCTATACTTAGCATTGCTGAATACCGAAGTTTTTCATGTAAAATTCATTTATAATGTATCCATGGTTACTACCTATTTACAGAAATCTTCTAAATAATTTCTTTGAAGCATGTATGGCAAAAGAATGCATTTTGAGTATGTGTGTAAACTAATGTAGTGACTGTATTCGTGTTTGTAAAGGTTCATTGTTCAAAAGTAGATGACATTCTCAATTTATACTGTTTCCATGGCAACCAACACATATAGTAACCAAAATTTAATATTTTCCAATTCAGTTTATTCAGTTAAGTTTATTTCCCTACTTACATGTTTTTTTTTTTAAACCAGTATAGAAGTTTCTACTTTACATTGTTCGTTTAACACTTAATCAGAGTGAACACAATACATCCCAATAATTACCTCAATTTTTCAATTTTCCCATGTATAAATTTTTCTAAACTTTTTGTTATATATTCAGATCATATCATAGATTGATTAAAACTAAGTTTTGAAACTGTTGCAATTAGTTCACATTTTGATGGAAAATTTGATAATTTGACTAGACTACCAGGACTTTCACAAATGATCATATCTATTCTTTGTGACAAGACCTTTTATTGGATATCATCAACCTTGACCAACTGACCTTGGAGATTTCTTTATTTGTGAAAAAAATAATCTTGACCATAACTTTAGAACGGTAAGGGATAGAACTCTATATACTTTACATATCTTATTCTTGTGAGAAGACCTTTCATTGGATACAAAGAACTTTGACATTTACCTTGGAGTTTTTCTTACTTTTAAAAAACAATCCTTGACCATAACTTTTAAAGGGTTAGGGCTCAGGCGTTCATGTTTCACATATTTAATCCTTGTGACAGGAACTTTAATTTCATTGGATAGAAAGGATGAACTTGACTTTGGAGTTTGACCTACTTGTGACCCATTGACCTTGGCCTTAAATTTAAAGAAATCAACTTCAGTGATAATTTTTAATTGACATATGATAGTGCGTTCATTGTTGAGACTGTAATAAATCCGAATTAGTAAAATGGATTGAAATAGTTTTTGAATCACCCAATCAAATTTTATGTGTAGCCACAGTGTCCTGTTATAGCTATGGTGTCTTGATGACTTTAGTTTGTGTTTGTGTGTCTTTAGATGGTATCCGTGACTGTGATTTTTATAGGGTGTGTTTTGGTAGTTGCTGACTTTATCGGGGAAAAAAACAGAATTGCTGGTTAAACCACTCAGTTTGCAGTTACAGTGATATAACGTAATAAATTTGATTATTGGTTTGATTGTAAGTTATTCCGTCGTTACAGTTCGTTTTTATTTAGTTTGCTAATTATTATCAAGATAGGTCCAAGGAAAAGGTATATAAAGTGAATTTAAGTCAGTTGTTTGCCATTGCTATTGAAGTTTGTGTTGATTTTACATTATAAACGCCATTCTTAGGAAGGAAACTTGGTCGCAACCAATTATAAATTGTGTGTACATTGTAATAATGTTACAAGACAATATGTCATAAAAAATGACATCTCACCCACAAAAACACCAAAAGAGGGGGGCCACAATTCTCTGAATTTGTTATGATTTATTTAAAAGAATTTTTCTATCCTTAAGCTGCTACAATCTGTAAGAGTGTCATATATTAATAACTTTTGAGTATTTTTGAGTAGGGAAAGGGTTCAAGGATCGTGCTGAAATCCCATCAGAGCTTCCAGATAATGTTAACATTGAAAAAAGATTTTAATTTTAAAAATATGCATTACAAAAGTGTTTGGAGAAAAATCTCATGGGTACAGAGCGATTTAATAAGCCTTTCCTCCTTACACTTCAAATGGAAATAAAAGAACAAAGTTTGTGTAATCTTGATAACAATAAATAATTATCATCAGGAATGGAATTTTAAACATTAAAAATCGACACAACATTGCTTTGTAGTACTTACAAACGTTTGAGTTCCTTTCTTTGCACGGTGTTCACTTTGTTTAAAGCATAAAAAAGCAATGCTATGATAAAACATGAATTGTTAGAAGTGCTTTTGACTGTAACTTAGAAGAGGTTCTATTAAGTGACGCGACGCAAATGTGACACTTAAGAATAATTTTGTATCATAAGTGGAATTATCCTGAACAGATCCTACTAGGTAATCTGAATGAACAATTTATATTAGTGAGCATTTCAGAAAGAAAAAAAAAATCTTGTGATATATAAAGTAAAGTATATGGTTCATAATTGTTTAACAAATGGTTTCATTTATTCAATATTACGCTCCTTATACAATGAAAAAGCACATGTCCAATGTTATTTTTTTCTCATTTTTCCTGTGTATGATAAATGTTTCAAATACAGGAAGAAGATATGGAGATAACGGACAGTATTCAATCTCAAAGTCCAAAAAGTAATGCAAAACAAGGGCAGAGCAAACAAGGACCCTGGAAACATCAGAGGTGGGATCAAGTGCCGTGGAGGATTGAGCATCCCCCGCCTATAGCTACCGGTCACACCTGCCATGTGCTCCTTGTCATGATCAGGAAATATAGGGAAAAATCCGTCGTCAATTCAGTTTATAAATAATGCACTAACAATTGGTATGAAAAACGTCAGTCAGCATTTGACCCAATGATATATTGTATTTGCTGACAAGGTCATTGTATTGACCATAGAATTTACATGGGAAATAATCTGTTTTTCAGGGCAAATAAAATATTAGTGAGAAGGAAAATAAAAACGCGCATGGTAATGCACGGATAAGAATTTTTTTTTTTTTTTTTTTTTTTTTTAGAAGAAAAGGTATCAAAGTTTATTCTGAAAAAAAGGATTATTCTTATCAGCAATTGTAATCAATTCCATATTTTTGATCGATTGCAGTTTGTTGTGAAATCCTTATTAATCAAAACGCACTCATTTCATTCGATTTCAATGTTCAATTCTAATCATTAATTCTTATATATACTATGTCTTTATGTTAAGGAGAAGAACTAGTAAGTTGTTAGAACTTGTTTCTTATCCTTTTGCTTTTCAATAAAATAATAAAATATGTTCAAAACAAAACAAAAACAATTCTTATGAATTTCTTTTTGATATTTTTTACCATTACAAGCCCCACGTTAGAAATCTTCAACTTGAATTAACAAAAAAGAAAACATTCGGTATATTAAATTAATTAGAAGATACTTTGAAAATGCCTATGGTATAATAAATCGACAAGGCGAAAGAAAAGAAAAATTGCAAAAAATATTATATATAAATTTAAAATTACTTCACAAATCTAACAAATATGTCACTTTAGATTCGTAGTCATTGCAGACGAATTTTGTGAACATATATGATGGAAACACGTCGTCAAAGGTGCTGAAAGAAAGAATGTGAGGCATTCACAGAGTTGTACGTCATCATAAACGGAACACTTATCGATATAGAGATGCAATTCCATTCGTCGCCAAATTATGACACCATCTACCGGGTCCATAGGTTCAGAGCGGACTACAAAGGGTAATCAGTGTTAAACGATTCCTTGAGGCAGTGACTAACGAGAGAATAGAATGGGCTACGAAGTCACAGAACATAATTTCTAATTAACATGTCAATTATGTTCTACAGAAGCAGACACAGCAACAGAAACCTGCTCAATCCAATACCAATGAACTTGATTGATTGTTTATTTTTAACGTCCCCCTCTATTTTTCACTCATATGGAGACGTCACCGTATGCCGGTGAAGGGCTTCAAATTTTGACCTTTTCTCGGCACTCAAGGCCATTGAGCAGTGTGGGATCTTTATCGTGCCAACGCCTGCCGCTGACATGGGGCCTCGGTTTTTAGCGTCTCATCCGAAGGACTCTTCAAAGTGCCGAGCGCATGGCGAAGGAACAGTAGCTACCCATTATTTTTATCGACTTAGGTTAGTCGCGGCCGAGATACAAACTCACGACCTCCCGATCACGTAGCAAGCGCTCTACCGACTGAGCTACCGTGAACGGTCCAATGAACTTGAAGTGAATCTGTCAGAATTTGATTGCATCCCTTAAAAGAGCATCCGTTCACTCATTCGAAGTTTCCCCCAGGCAATACAGGCGTGCATTCAATCAAGGGGAGGTCATACCCAGTGTTGTTGTTTGTCGTGGCTTAATTTGGATAAAACGAACTGCGTCCATAATTGTTAGTCATGCTCTTTTGTCCAAGACTAACTTTATTCAATAAAACTACATGACAAGTATAGTTTTATGTAATCGCTAATGTATAGAAACTAGGAGACTTATTGTTCACAGAACAATAAGAGGTCTTTCCACCTTTTGAATTTCAATTTCATTTAATATTTATCTATTTAAAATTAAATTTCATAAAAAAGAAAACAAGGAATGGCTTAAAAGAAGAAAAAAAATGAAAATGATTTTTTTTTAGGTGACCTTGACCTTTTACCTTTAAGTCATATTCAAGGTCAAAGGTCAAGGGTCACATTGTAATTAACCCCATGTCTTCTCTATGACTTATAGTTTTAAAGTTATAAGGTTTAATAGTAAGCACAAAAGCATTTATGGGCAGTAACTCGTTCAAGAAGTCACCAGATCCTTTTGCACTTGAACTTTAAAGTTTTGCCTTAAGTCCCATAAGACATAAGAGAAGGTTTTATGTCTTTGCAGTTTACGGTTTAGGAGCAATAGCAATAAAAATGTTTTTTGCACAAGGGGCAATAACTTTTAATAGGGTCAATCTTAAGGGACAAGAATGAAATCTTTGACACAGTTTTAAGAGTATATATAAATGATGCATAGACATTAAGCATATGTTGAAAGACAAAAGAGATATGAAAAGAGCTTAATTTCTCATTTTTGGAATGACCTTGACCTGTGCAGAAATTTTAGGATGAAAGATCAATGAATCTTATGCAGTTGGTCTCATGTCTCTAGAACTTCTCGTTTTGAAAATTTTCAATTCTTCGTAAAATTCAAAAACTTTCAGGGGCAATAACTCATTGAAAGAGTCACCGAAGACTTTCGAAATGAATAGATTCCAGAATCCTCTCAATGAGTCGAAGACTTTAGTGAAGGTTTCATATTTGTACGCTGTATGGTTTTGAAGTAGTAGTGATAACAAGGTTTTTCGCACAAAGGACGATAACTTTTTATAGGTTCAATCTTACGGAATACAAATTAAATCTTGTGAATAGTTTTAAGAGTACATATTAATGATGCTAAGACAGTTTGTATATGTTAAGAGACAAAAAAGATATAAATACAGCTTAATTTCTCAATTTTGGAATGACCTTGACCTTTGACCTTTACATGAATTTTAAGCTCAAAGGTCAATGAATCTTATGCAGTTGGTCTCATGTCTCTACACCTTCTCATTTTGAAAATTTTTAATTATTTGTAAAATTCAAAAAGTTTCAGGGGCAATAACTCATTGAAGGAGTCACCGAAGACTTTCGCAATGAATAGATTCCAGAATCCTCTCAATGAGTCAAAGACTTTAGTGAAGGTTTCATATTTGTACGCTGTACGGTTTTGAAATAGTAGCAAGAACAAGGTTTTTCGCACAAAGGGTGATAACTTTTCATAGGTTCAATCTTACGGAATACAAATTGAATCTTGTGAATAGTTTTAAGAGTTCATATTAATGATGCTAAGACAGTTTGTATATGTTAAGAGACAAAAAAGATATAAATACAGCTTAATTTCTCAATTTTGGAATGACCTTGACCTTTGACCTTTACATGAATTTTAAGCTCAAAGGTCAATGAATCTTATGCAATTGGTCTCAT